TCCTGCTGACTTTAAATAATCATTCTGCTCTTTACTTCAGTGACAGTCAGTAAGACACCAGAAAAAAATGGTTCATTTTACAGTTCCAGTGCAGATCTGGCTTCCCACAGCTCTGTTGTGAAATAAAAAGTTATTAAAAAGGATACATCCTGAGGGTATTTTAAGTGCTAAGTACTGCCACAGTTAAGGCAGGGAAAGTTCTGCCTCATCTCTTACCCCTCCTTTTGCAGACCAGGCCTTCTCCTAGCAGGGAAGTTGTCTCAGTTGTATCCCTTGAGAGGCAAAATAAAGCAGATGACGGTGTACTGTTCTAGAGAGGTAATTTAAACACTGTGCCAATATACTCTTTATCTTCCTCAAAAGACAATCGGAAGGCAGCAAAAGATTCAACAGTATTGTTGACTTGGTAAGAGAAGATTTGGAATCTTCACAAATTCCTGTCACATATCAGAACATCTGTTCATATATTACCAAAGCAGGTGGATTTTTATATACACAGTAAAAAAAAAAAGCACTTTATCCTTTCCCTAAAAAGCATCCAGAAGTAATGGCATTAAGGAATCTAGCACAGAAACTGCAATTAATATAGAATTCACAATTTTCAGGGCACAGGTAAGAAATTCCTGTCTTGTTAGATACCATTCACAATATGCACACTTGCACTCTATGAATACATGACAAACAGTTAAACACTAAACAGTTGTGTGTGAGCAGAACTTGAGGGAAGCACTATTGCTCCGGATTCGCAGTGGTAGTGATTATTAATTTCTATGGGAATCTTGAGGCTCCTCAGAAGTCCTAAACTTATCCTATCCCCATTGAAAGTCTTTCCACAAGTTCTTAATATAAACACCAACCATCATTTACTGGTGGATTTCCCACAGTCACATGAAATTTTCACTTTCAAATTGCTTATACGGACTTTTGGATTTGTTTTCTCTTCCTGAAGACATATGGATACATCTAAAGTCCATAAAAATAGGCAAAATCCCTTTTGATTTATTATGGTCCTGAAACTTCAGGATAGCCTTAGAATAAAAAAAGCATGATGCCTGATGAAGCAAAGATGGGAATGAACAGAGCAATTGACTTGTGAAAGTCACCTTAAATTGGTATCATTCAGAACTTCTCAGCACAACATGGGCTTTTACTCCATTTTCTTGGGGTGTACTTACATCACAGATTCACTTGGAAAGCAGAGGAGTTTCTGCCTTTGCACTGTGTTTTGTTTTGTCCTCAGCTGTTACGATAGAATATATGGCAGTATACTGTAAACTGAACCATTCAATCTATCTTAAAGAAGAAACAAACCAATAATACCCATAGGATAACGTTATTTAACTTGCATCACTCCAGTGACATGCCTCATAGTATAGATCCACAAGCTCTGTAGCAGAGGAAGTGATAAAGACTGCCAGGGGATCATGAACCAGGTGTGGATGGGAACTTCCCAAGCCAGCTCTGCTGCTGAGGTTAACATGTCACGTAACCACACATTTAGCATCTGCATAGCTTATAAGCCTCCCAGCTTCCTAATGTGTATTACAAAATTCTTTGAAAGCAACATATTCAGGAAAATTTTAGGCATGTAACTTCATAAGATGGTGTTACTAGGAAGTAACTGTATTTGTCCAAACTAACCACAAGGAAAGCAGAAAATTTATAGTAAAATGTCATTTTAAAGAACATCAGAATATATGAAAAGACTTAGAATTCTTTGCTAAAGGTTCATTGGAAAAGACAATTAACTTTTATTATATCAGCTTAATTGAAAAATACTTAACTCTCAGACCCAGGGTCACTCTGAAACCTTTTTTCTGGATACTACTTGATCTTGTAAAGTGTATCACTTTACACTTCCTGTATCTCTTATATTCTTAAATTGTCATGAATAAGCACTACTGTTATACTGTCTTATACATCTGCACTGGAAATTTTTGTCTCATAACTGAGCAAATCAGATGATAGAATGTCTTGCTCTTAATCTTACAACTGTTATGCAGAGTAACCTTCTTTGCAGTTGCAAGTAAACACACAATCTTTCTGTTTCTTTATGTTCTTTAGCAAAAAAAAACAACCCATACTATGATTAACTGGATCATGGCTATCCATTAATGTTATGTGGTGTAGCTTAATATTGATGAGGAATACAGCATTATTTGCAAATATGGCAGCTATACAGCTATGATACAGCCATGAATGCAGGGCTTCTTCATAGAAGAGCTTTGTTTATGGCAAACAAACCCTTTTGTATTAATGAGTTATCACATAGCATCATAGCCTCTAATCTAATTGAAAAGATATTTATCCATGGCTCCCGATCACTTAAACCTGTCAGTTCCTACATTTCTAATGTCACTGACTATATTATATTCTGCTAATTTATTAGGTTATTGATCATTACTCCAACAACTAAAGTTTTCCTTGAATACCATTATCACATGTTCATGATCACTTCTGGTATTTGAGCCACTTATATTTTGAGGCACATGGCTTCTGGTGTTTAAACCAGCTTCTGTCTCTTTGCACCATAATAGTTGCATAAGGTTTTCAAGTAAACTGTTTTCACATGTATCTATATTACAAGATTATTCTACTCTCCAGAATAACTTGAGATACTGTTTTACAATGATGTTGGCTGGTATCTGGATTACTTCATTTCAGCCCACCATAGTCTGTGAACCCAAAATCTGTACAAGTATTACTCAAGAAACTTTTTAGATAATCAAGAATACATCACTGATTTATGATGTCTCAGGGTTCATTTTTAGAACTACCCTAAATATAGAAAAAAAAAAATTTTCTCCACTTATAGTTGATTGGGTATGCAAAGCTCTATACTCTTGATTCTTCCTTAGCCTTCTACAATATTCTTATTCCATAAATCCTGATCACATTATAGGTACTACAGAAAGAATGCTTGATGAAATGTGTGCTAGTCTTAAAACCTCATAAAATTGTAAAAGAAATAATCATATTTAAAATGGTACATTTTCCAAATGCTAATGAACAGTGTATTAAAAATGTAAACTCTAAGGACCCCCTGGTATACCATCATGTAGGGCAATTTTTTTCTTGAATTATAATTACATAAAATAATAAAATATATATACTTGGGGTAAGACTGTTATTAAACATTTCTAAATATGTAATTAAGAAATATGTAAATGCATGACTACAATGTAATTGTTAAGAAACAAAAAATCATACCTGTTTGCTTTCTTCCATATCAGATTCACTGCTAAATTCTTCTGTATTTAAATTTTCAAAATCTGATTCTCCAACTGCGATTGGAACTGTCACAGTGAGGCCTGGGTTGTTTATGAATGACATGTAATCATTTTCATCAATTACGTATTTTTCCACACTGCTGCCTGTGCCTACGCCACTGGTGGTTCCATTCCCGTCTTTAAGATAATTCAGATCTTTGCTTATTTCAACAGCGGTGTGATTGGAAATGCAGCTGTCTTTCTTGTTGTTTAGCTCTTCAAGTGCTTTGATTTCCTCTAAAGCTTTCTGATTTCTAACAAAGGCTTTTTGGATGAACTCCTGTATCTTTTTTTTAGCATAATCTATTCCCTTCTGAATCCTTGCGACAGCAATCTGGAGGTTGTTCATTTCATTATCATCGTCAGTAGCAGCAAGGTTGTCTGAACTAAATGAGCTCAGAAGCAAGGCCAGAAATAGATTCAATACCTAAAAGATGAGAGAATACAGCTGTATAGTAAATACATACATATAAGAAGTGAGTGTTTTTACAAGATACTGTCAAATAGCACACATTGTTTTGAAAAACAACATTCACTAATTTTAGACAACCATATAGCAGCTTAAATTACAAAAGCTGTCCGTACTTGTTTTGATCAATATTCACTCAGAATATGGCAACAGACAAGCTAATAGCTAAATATTCAAACTTTTGATTTTAGTTTGAAGCAGCATGGTTGCTTAGACTCTAAAATAAAAAAAAAAAAAGTTACAAAATATCTAGCTATACACATTCATCAGAGGTTTGAAAGGCTTCTGTCTAAATATCTTAAAAGCACTTGGAATTTAAGTAGAATTAAATAAACATTATTTGTAAAATTAGATGGGTTTCTGTGATGCAGATATTTTAGAAACATATCCGTTAATGCAATAATAACCTACTTATACTTTCTAGCTACTATTTGGGAGACTATACCATGAGACTGTGACTTTCTGTTAATTCTGGGCTTGTCTCTTAAGTTCTGTAAAGCTTGTCATAAAAGGATAAAAAGAATATTAAAAAATTAATTTTACACTTTAATCTCTACTATTTATAATAATACTATATTATTTGTAATTTGTAATTTTTTTCCTTTTCACTTGTCAAAAAATGAAAATTTTGTTTGCTTTTATGTAGGAATTTAAAATAAAATGGACTTCGTTCATCAGCAGGTAATAATCTTAGCACCAGTACTGCCTGAGAACTGTGGTTTATTGCCTCAAAATTCAAACATTATTGTTGTTTTAGTATAATCTCCTATAAACTGTAGTTATTTCACTAAATCTTACAATCAACTAATAATTTCATACTTTGAATCTGATATAGCACCAGGCATCAAAAGTTGTCATGATATGGCAAAATAGCATAAATAAACTTCCCCATTGTTAAATATGTCAGGTCTCTCATTTGTACTCTTTACGAGATTTAATTCTGCAGACTTTCACAATTCCAGAAAAGAACACAGAAAGTAAAAAGACACTTGGAAAAAAAAAGACAATACGAATTTGAAAAAGTATTTCTATGCTGAAGGTAATGCTAAAAAATGGTAGAGTAGGTTACTGATCATAAATTACTTTCTGGGGCTCTGCACATTTCTCCCGGTACAATGTCAAGATTGCAAGGTCATGTAAATGACTCGGATAGGGACATTTTGAATTCTATTTTACAAAAATTTAAGTCATGTTAAATTATATCACTAAAGGAAGAAAATTTTGACAAGTAATGAAATATAGGTTTTAGGCATATCAGAATGAACTACAGAGATTAATGGTAAAAGAAAGCTAAAAATAAAGTAAAAGTGTAAATTGTGCATTCCAATTATACTCACGACTTCTAAGAAGTTCTCACCAATTCAATATTTATCAATTGAACCTTTGACATTTTAACTTGTCAGCTTGAATCAAAATTTTTCTATAAAGGTTTCCTTTATAATTTTGAATTAGAAGCTTTCAAACACATTTTTAGGATGGACATCTAATCTCTCTGTATATTTTTTTTTGTTATTTACACCTAAATAGGCCAAAAAGTTCAGTACTTAAATTCAAGATGTTCTATGTAAGAACAGCTACCTTACACTTTATTTTTATTAAATCAGAAGTATTAGTGCTGGAATTAGCTGTAATGGGTGTAAGAAAGTCCGTTAGATTTTCTTTTCTCCAAAGAAGCAACTGCCCAGGAGCTGGTGCAGCATAAGCCTCTAAATTAGCTGCAGCACTGCCATGATACAGTGTTTGATTTGACATTTTGGTGTCTTCGTAAATTCCTGTACCCATAGTGAGAGTGCATCAGTGTATGAAAATGAATGAAAAGGTGGAGAAGGGAATCGTCGTAAGTTTTTACCCCAAATTTAGCACATTCAGATTTATTTTCTAATTCTAAACAGAAGTATGACAAACATCCTCGTTGCCTAGCTCTAAGTTAGGTACATTTTGCATCAGAGTTAGTGTTCAAAAATGTTCGTCACATACCACTAGGTTTCCAATCACCATGACCAGCATGAAAACAATAAGGCACATGGTTTGCCCAGCAACCTCCATGCAGTCCCACATTGTTTCTATCCATTCTCCGCACAGCACTCGAAACACAATCAAGAAAGAGTGAAAAAAGTCATGCATGTGCCAGCGTGGAAGCACACAGTCACTGGAGATCTTGCAGACACATTCCTTGTAGCTTTTCCCAAACAGCTGCATCCCAACCACAGCAAAAATGAACACAATGATAGCCAGCACCAGGGTCAGATTCCCCAGAGCTCCCACTGAGTTGCCAATAATCTTAATCAGCATATTTAGAGTTGGCCAAGATTTTGCCAATTTGAAAACTCGAAGCTGAAAAACAAAAATGGAGAGGAATGATTAGTGTTAGTTATGAAATAGAAGCTAGGTTCAAGTTGTTTAGCAGAGCATATCAGTTTCTGTAGACTAATTTTATGCATCAGTAGAAACCTATTATTATTTTAATGGAAAGCAGGGAGCCCCCAGCAGAAGAAAGACATGGACCTGAGTCCAGAGGAGGGCCACAAAGATGACCAGAGGGCTGGGGCACCTCCCCTATAAGGGCAGGCTGAGAGAGTTGGAGTTGTTCAGCCTGCAGAAGAGAAGGCTTCGGGGAGACCTTCTACGGGCC